TGCTTGGCCTGCTGTGTTCATCCAGCCCTGCACCTTGTTATCTCTTCATCCTGATCATACTACCTAAGACCAACAGCCACAAAAATGCCTTTGTGAGGAGACAAGGTTATGGTACATCTAGAAAAGCTCAGCAGGAATTGCAACATCTGTGTACAGAAATCTAAGTTAATGTTTTGGGACTAGTGACCTTTCATCAGAACTGATGGTAGCCAGGAAAGAGTTTATTTTTATGCAGAAGATAGGGTGGGGGGAGGGGGTAAGGAGTAAACGATAGGTGGAGATAGAGCCCAAAGAGAGAAAAGAACTGTTGGATAGACAAAGGAGTGGCTAATGGTCAGCCTAGGCGAATGAATAGCTGTTAATGGGGACTTTTACTGGCTAACAATGGGTAATGTGTAACACCTCTGTCTCCACCTATCATTCACTACTCACACCATCCTTCCACCCTCTATTCTGCACAAAAACCAATTTCTTTCCTAGCCACCATCAATTCTGAGGAAGGGTCACCGGACCTGAAACATTAACTCTGATTTCTCTTCACAGATACTGCCAGACCTGTTGAGCTATTCCAACAATTTCTGTTTTTGTTTCTGATTTCCAGCATCTGCAGTTCTTTTGGTTTTCATTCAGGTAACTTATGTACAAGTTACTCAATTAAGGCAGAAAATGAAAATGCTCACCTGTTTTATTGTCACAGAACTGTGAGGAAAAATAAATATCATCCAATGCTGCGTAACCTCCTTTTGTGCTGCTGAACGCAACTTCAAACACAATCTGGAAAACCAATCACATCATCCAGAACAATGAGTTGAGGGGAGGCTAGAACATCTGAGACATGATTATGGTTTTTGACTTCACACATATAGCGAAGCCTGGAAATGAGGGATACCATGTAGGGATTTTGCCCAGGTGTCATTTAAACACTGCTATCCTTATTTTCCAAATGGTATGGGCAGATAACATAAACTGGATATAAACAGACCACATGGAATTACACATTTCATCTTGTCACATGGTGGATAGTGGAGGGCAGCAGCTTAAGATACACCCCTTTAAAGGTACACCACAAGAGAGGTTGTGTGAGTCATGTGATAAAATCTCCATCATTACATCCAGCCAGAATTGATAAACCCAGTAACAACCTGACATTGACAGGAATGGGAATAGGCTGATGTTCCAAACATTATCTAAATATTATTGAAGTTGTACAGGACATTGGTGAGGCCCCTTCTGGAGTACTGCGTGCAGTTCTGGTCTCCCTGTTATAGGAAGGATATTACTAATCTTGAGAAGGTCAGAAAAGATTTATCAGGATGTCGCTGGGAATGGGAGGGTTTGAGATATAAAAATAGGCTGGATAAGCTGGGACTTTTTTTCACTGGAGCATAGGAGATTGAGGGATGACCTTGTAGAGGTTTATAAAATCATGAGCGATATAGATAACGTGAATCGCAAAGGTCTTTTCCCAAAGGAAGGGGAGTTCAAAACTAGGGGGCAAATTTTTAAGGTGAGAGGAGAAAGATTTACAAAGGACATGAGGGGCAATTTTTTTACACAGAGAGTGGTTAGTGTGTGGAATGAACTGCCAGAGGAAGTGATAGCTGCAAGTACAGTTAACACGTTTAAGATCTTTGGATAAGTACATGAATAGCAAAGGGTTGGAGGGGTATGAGCCAAATGCAGACAGATGGGACTAGTTTAGTTTGGGAACCTGGTCAGCATGGACTAGTTGGACCAAAGGGTCTGTTACCATGCTGTTTGTCTCGATGGCTCTATAACTAGAATGAAGGGGGAGACAAGGGGGAGGCTGAAGGGACTCTTCTGTGCTGTATGACTCTATGACTGTGTCACTGTTTTACATTGTAAGGAACACTAAATTCCACATGTTGGGTTCTGAAACACATTCAAAAAGTGACAACACTTAAAAAGTACTTCATTGTCTGTAAAACTCTTTGGGAGGTTGTGAGGTCATAGAAGTTCAAATTATTGCATTCTTAGCACCACTGGCAGATCGCGAACAGGGGAGGGTATAAAGAGAAGAAACAACACTGAGGAAGGAGAAATTAAAATGATTAAAACTATTACAAATTCTAGATAGCTGTGACAAAAAATTTGTAAATAAACAAACTGGACTGATTCTCCAATTTAAATACATGACTGTGCAGATCAGTATGTTTCATTTGCCAGCTTTATTAGCTTTTCTTCCTGAGACATTCATGAATTATTGCTAGAAAACTGGTGTACTGGAGGCATATTTTGACACAGGTTATAATCATCTACAACCAACAACACATAAATAGACCATTCTATCAAATGTGTCTATGCAAATGCTGATGTTCCACGTCGGCTTCCTTCCAACTCTTCATCATGCTGTATCAATATATCCTGCAATTCAATCTCCCTCATGTGTATATCTATCTTTTCCTGAAGTGCCTCCTTGTAATTATTTCTTGTGATAGTGAATTCCACATCTCTGGGTAGAGATTTCTCCTGAAATCCCTGTTAAATTTGTTAGTGACTATCTTATATTTTTTGACGCTTAGTTTTAGTATTGCTCATAAGTGGATCTGGGAGTTCCTCTGCTTCTGCACTCTCACACATCCCCTTTGAGTTTCCAAGACTCAAAGCTCTGGAACTCCCTCTCTAAACCTCTCCAGCCCTCTCTCCTCCTTAGGCATGTTTCATACCTGAATCTTTGACCAAGCACATGTTCATCTGCCCTATAATCTCTAAAGGTAGAATCGTAGAATCCTTACAGTGTGGAAGCAGGCCATTCAGTCCATCGAGCCCACACCAACCCTCTGAACAGCATCCCATCCAGACCCACCCCAACCCTGTAACCCTGCATATCCCAAGGCTAATCCACCTAACTTACACATCCCTGGACACCATGGGACAATTTAGCATGGCCAATCCACCCAACTTGCATTTCTTTGGCCTCATTTGGATGTCATTTGATAGTTGCTCCTGAAGAGCACTTGGAGATAGTTAGCGGTTTTGCCACATTTGCGGTGCTATCTAAATGCAAATTGTTGTTGCAATGCTTTGAAATCATGAAGAGTTTGTACAGACAGGGAGAAACAGGTTCCACTCGTAAATAGGTTGAGGACAGAGGGTTTAATTATAAAGTGGTTTTCAAAAAAACGTAAATGCAAGGTAAGAAAATACTTTTTCACACAGCAAGTAGTTTGAATATGAAATGCAATGCCGGGAAATGTGGTAGACATAGGTTCAAGAGAGCACTGTGTGATTATTTAGAGAGAAACAATGTGCAGGGTTGTGGGAGAAGGTCAGGAGATTAAAGTTAAGTACTCCGAGAACCAGTGTAGACATGATGGGCTAATGACCTCTCTCTGCACTGTAACAATTCTGTAATCTGCAAAGTGGAACAAACAGATTAAATACAAGAGCAGGTAAACATCCAGGAAGCAGTGACCATAGAATGAAGAGGCTGACTGAAAAATGGAAAGGGAGAAGAAACAATCAAATAAATCGAAGGCAGCAGGGAAATTTCACAAAATTTTTTAAAAAAGCTCAAATAACCAGGAAACAAATACTGGCAAAAAATTAATAAATAGTAATTAATAGTTCACAAATCTCAGAGTTTTTTGAAGAGGTGGCAAAACTGATGACAAAGGTAAGTCAATGAATGTTATTTATATGGACTTCCAGAAGAATTCTGGTAAAGTCCCACACATCATACTGTTAGCTAAGGTGGAAGACCACAGAATTAAGGGCAAATTACTACCATGGATAGGAATTTCTTTCAGTGGCAAGAAACAGAGTTGGAATAATGGGTAAATAAACAAATTAGCAGGATGTGACTAGTGGTGTTCCACAGGGATATGAGTTGGGGCCTCAATTATTCACAATATTCATTAGTGACTTGGATAATGGCATAAAAAGTCAAATATCCAAATTTGCTGATGACACAAAATTGGGCAGCAATGTAGGCAGTTTTGATGACGGCATAAAATTACAACAGGATATTAATGGATTAGGTAAATGGGCAAAGCTGTGGCCGATGGATTTTAATATAAGCAAGTGTGAGATTATCCATTTCAGACCAAAAATAGATAAGTCAGACTACTTCTTCTAGAAGACAAAAAGTTACATACAGTGGATGTCCAATGAGATTTGGGTGGTGCCATGAACAGGTACAGAAAATAGTCAAAAAGGCTAATGGAATGCTGGCCGTCACATCTAAAGGTCTGGAGCATAAGGATGAAGATGATATGCTGCAGTTATACAGAACCCTTGTTAGACCTCACTGAGAGTACTGTGAACAGATCTAGTTACCACATATTAGGAAGGATGTTTTGACCTTGGAGGTTCAATGCAGATTTACAAGTTTGATACCTGAACTTCTGGGATTAAGTTATGAGGAGAGATTATACAAATTTAAGCCTTTATTCTCTAGAATTTAGAAGGTTAAGGGGTGATCTAATTAAAGTCTTCAGGATATTGACAAGGAAAGACAGGGTAGGTAAAGATAAATTATTTCCACTAGTTGAAGATTCTAGAACCTGGGGACATAGTCTAAGAATTAGGGCCCGGCCATTCAAGAGACACGTTTGAAAGTACTACTGCATGCAAACAGTAGTGAATGTTCGGAACTCTCTCCCTCAAACAGTGGTCAATGCTAATTAAATTGTTAAATTTAAATCTGAGATTGACGAATTTTTGCTAAGCGAGAATATCAAGGCATGTGAAATTAGGCCACAGATCAGCCATGATTCTATTGAATGGCAGAGAAGGGTCAACGGGCTGAGTGGCCTACTCCTTTTCCCATGTTCCTATGTTCTTTCTCCCAAATCAATGTCACCCACTCTCACCATTCTCTCAAGGAAAAGTTACCACCCTCCCTCCCTTAACCTTTTACTGCCAGGAATGAGGGATATCAGTCCCATGGAGAATGTGGAGATGGGATTGTTCTTGTTGGAGAAGAGAAAGTAAAGAGGTGATTTGATAGATGTGTTCAAATTGTCCGATTTAGATAGAAAATAAGAGAAACTGCTTCCTTTAACAGAATGGTTGATAGTTAAAGGACACAGATTTCAGGGAATTGGCAAAAGAACCCAAAGAAATGTTTTCTCTTTCTGACAACAAGTTTGTTACGATCTGGACAATATTGCCTCAAAAAGAAGTGGAAGCAGATTCAATGATAACGTTCAACAGGAAATTGGATAAATAAATAAGTTGGATAAAATTGGACTCTGGGAAAAGAGCGAGGGAATGATTCCAATTGGATAGCTCTTTCAAACAGCAAGTCTTGGCACAATGGGCTGAGCGGTCTCTCTATCACTCTATAACTAAGTTAGAATGCTATAAAGTTTTATGTGTGCATCTGACAATACGTCCATTCATTTATTATATTTCTATCTCAATTTTCACGTACATGACAAGTATTACTGTGCATCATACTCCTCTGCTAAAACTTCCCAATGTTCCATGTGTATGAGAAACCAGGACTACCCAAGACCTCTTTTCTGTGTAACACTCTTCTGGAATTTCTTTCTTTGCCCATTTTCTTCTCACCTTCACTAAAATGTGGGGAATCAATGGAGTTCTTCAAACCAAATATGTAAGTCTATCTATTCAGCTACACGATCTTGCCCTGTCCCTCTACTTTTGAGTCTCTCCTGAAACCTTCCATCCGTGTTATCTCCAGCCCCCTTCACCAAGGTTTCTCATCCATCCTCCCCCACCCTGAAATTAGCCAAAATGGCTCCCTCAGTTTTGGCACACCAGTTCCTGTATCCTTTTGATATAATGAACATTGCTTCTACCTCTCATTACATTTGTCCTCTCCATTCCCTGTCCCAAACCATCCCATCTTTCAAATGCTCAAACATATTGTTACCATACAGCTCTGTGTCTACCTTTCCCAATCTGCTCCAGGAGCTATCATATCCAGTTGAGAGTAACTTAAATTAGGAAAGTTATCAAGATATTGAGCTACATGGAGAGGTTGCAGAAGACATTCAGAAAGGTGATACATGAGAAAGGAGATTTTTGTTATCAGGTGAGAATCCTAAATAAATTGAAGTTTTTTTAAAATGACACTAGAGAAGCAAAAAGCAATGTTCAAAACTAATGAGGGGTTATGATAAGATAAATGTGAAAATTTACGCTTGGAGAGTGTTGCGAGGCTATCGAGTGCTCTACATAATCGCTTTTAAAAGGGAAGAGAACAAATATTTGCAAAACAAAAAGCACATGCAATGCACAAGCGAAGAGGATTAAGTGTGTAACTCCATCAGAGAGCCAGAAACATACAAACGGGCTCTTCCTATGCAGTAAAATTCCACAATTTCATGTGACAGGAGGCCCCATCTTTGCCATTGGCATTAAATTACTGTAGTCACTAACACTAGTTATCACAATGAAACATGAACATATGGGTGAAAGCTCACTTATACAGACAAAATTGATAGATTTCAATCAGCACAGCCACTCAATATTATTGTATTTTCCCGAATGAAATCAACTTGAAGCTCTTTCCATTCCCACATAAACAAGCAGTCACTTCAGAATATCCATTACAAACAGCTCTGCTTGAATAGGAAAGTCTTTAGAAGTAACCATCATTTCTGGAAAGAAGTCCCTTCTGAATTGTTCCATTTTAGTCATCCCAAGCAGCCCATCCAAATCTATCCCTCATTATGGAAACACTGAGTTCATGATCTAAGAATCTCCCTCAGTGTTTTATTTTCTTTTGCTGAAAAGCTTGACATGCGAATCTATATATATATGACTGTACCAGTAACTGTCTGAGACACCAGATGGCTTCTCTCACACATTAACTCTGCAGACATCCCAAAACATTCCGGAGAGAGACAGAGAAAAAAAAAAATCACATTTTGCCAGTTAAGCGTTTCAAGGCAGAAAATGAAGGAGCTTAAAATACCTTTTTGGATGATACAAAATGGTAGGAAAGTAAACATATAAAAAGAATCCTAATGACTATAAATTTGAAAGAAAAAAGCAAAATCCCAAAATAGTACATCAGAAAGAGAGCAATAAATTAATACTTTTTATGGAACAAATAGGTCATACTTGTTATGGAACCCTTTGTAATATCTTAGGATATTTTCATATCTTATTTATGCCAATTTTGAAGAAGTTGTCATGTATAGAAACTTAGTTAGGCAGCACTTGGAGTTTTCTGCACAGTTCTGTTCTGCATTAGTCTAAAAAGATACACAAACATTAATTAAGGTGCAAAAAATAAGAATTACAAGGATGTTGCCTGAACTGAGAGGTTCCATACTTAATGGAAAGCTGGAACTGGCTGCGTTTCTTGAAAAGATGATTTTAAAATTTGGAAATGGTTTGATAAAACAGAATTGCAGGAACATAGGAACAAGACAAAACAATTTTACCCCTCAAGATCGTTCATCATTTAATGAAACCTAACTCCTTTGTTCCGATCCATTAATATCTTGGGCTGACAAATATCTATCAATTTCAGATTTAAAATTAACAAATGAGCTCATCTCAGCTTTTATTTGTGATTGAGAGTTTCAACATTCTACCAACCCTTGTGAAAAGGAGTTTCCTAATTTCACTCCTGAAAGGTCCAGCTCTAATTTTTAGACTCTGCCCGCTAGTACTAGATTCCCCAACTAACAGAAATACTTTCTCTCTAACTATATGTTGCCCTTAATACCTTAAACTTTGATCCAAATTACCCCTTCTTCACCTCCAGTAGAATCCTTGATTATTTGAGCGTTGCTGAACCACAGCTCGTACTGTGATTACTTTCTATGAAGAAGGACCTAATTCTATCTCAGAGGGAATGGGGATTTTCCATTCCCTGCTGTTATCCTGAACTACATTCTCATCATCAATCTAACCTTGCTGCCACCAAATCAACTCAAATTAACTTTTGATCCTATGTAAATCTCCTCAATTAAAACTTTACCTGTAAGATACTAAAAGGTATCTTATCAGGACACTACAGCCTTTTCAACCTTTCCATTAAACATAGAACCTCTAATTTCTGGAAATTTAGGTATCCTTGTAATTATTATGAAATCTGGGAGTAGAATGCTACAGACTCTATCTCTTTCTTTGGCAATGATCTGGTTGATCCTGAGATGAGCTTTTCATCTCTTATTCATGTCACATCCAAGACTGCCTACTGTCGCCACTGTAACATCACCCAATTTCACCCATATCTGTTCATATGCTATTGAAACCCTCGTCCACGACTTTGCTAATCCTAGGCTTGATCATTCCAATATATCTCTGGTTTGTGTCCCATGGAACTTCCCAAGCTCTGTGAAAATCCAGCCCAATATCCCATGTGGCTCAGTGTCATTCTCTGTTTCACAATGCTCATGGAAGCAATGCTCATAAAACACTTTGGAATGCTCCATGGTGCTGAAGGCAGTATCAAAATACAAGCAGCTATTGATGCTGCTGTTGTTTAATATCTCAATGTTGTTTGATTGTTGGAGGCCAGATATCATTTTGGTAAATCGACACAGTACTCCCTCCAAGTCCAACATGTCCTTCAACTAATGTGACATCCAGAACAGCCTACATACAGAAGACGTGGTCTAACCAGGGCTTGCTATAGTGGAAGAATAACTTCTATCCCCTTGTATCCAATTTCTCTAGCTATAATGGCCAGCATTCCATTAGCTTTTCCTGGATTATTTTCAATACCTGTTGATTTACCTATTTTATTTCATTCTAATGATTAATCAACCTGTAGTCCTAAAGGTCTATCGATGTCCACTGTTTCATGGTTTGATTTGCGATATCATTACAATTCTTATTGTACAACAGAAATATTTACCTGAAATGGATGCGCTGCTTTAATATTCACTTTTACCAAAGTCCAACTGTGTGTAGATTTATTTGCCCTCCACACCTCTTCATAATGTCCCATTCTGTCCTTTGTATAAACGACAAATAAGTTGGATTGAGTCTGTTCAAGTTGGTAAAAGAAGGACAGGCATCCCAACAGGGCAAAAGTTGTCACCGGTGACATTAACTGAGCGACTTCATGTAAACTTGTGGTGTAAATAGCATCAACGTACATATAGTGACCTGAAAAAACAATAAAGTGGATCATTTAATAGTCCTAACAATCTGATAATAAGATATATTTACTTTGCTGTAAAAATATATAGATTTTCCAATCAGTAGTTTGGTGGTTCTGTGACGCAATGGGTAGTGCCCCTGCCTCTGAGCCAGAAGCTCAGGGTCAATTCCTATCCCAGACTTGATGGCCACAGAAGATGCCTTCATAGCAAATGGAAACAGATTAAGTGTCAACTTGTAACTCACAAATGGCAGGTAGTAACCAAAGGAGGGATTCCTGGTCAGTGATGTTATGGGAAGCAATTTGGAGTCTCTACCATCAGTACTCATTACTCCAGGCTCCAACATGCATGTAAAAGTACATGTTTCCAAAGCAACCCAGACACCATGAATGATAATTAACAGAACACCATTACTCGGTAATTTAACATACGAGAACAAGGAGGGGAAGTCAGATTAAAATGGAAAAGGTTTTCCATGGATTCCAATAAGAATGATTCAGCACAGAAGGTGGGCATTCAACTCACTGTGCCTGAGCTGGCTCTTTGAAAGTTATCCAATTTATCTCAACCAGCGTGCAATTTTCTGATCTTCAATTATTTATCCTCTCCACTTTTTGAAAGTTTCTACTGAATCTCCTTTTACAATCCTTTCATTAATTGCACTGGCATTTAGAACTCCCCTTTAATTCCTTTACCAACAAAGGCCCTTCTGCCAGTGGAAACAATTCCTTCTTATTCAGAATTTTGAACACCTCAATTCAACCTCCCCTGACCTGTTTGCTCTAAGGAGAGCCAGCCCAGCTTCCCTGAGTAAATAGAAATGAAAATTGTACTTTTTCTAATGTATGTGATGCAAGTTTTAAACTTGGGTGATAAGGTGAAAATCTGTCCTGCTATAGCCATAAATTCTGATGAAACCAATACCACAGGCATAAATAATGTTGGAAATCCAAAACCAAAACAGAAAATGTCAGAGAAACAGCATCTGTGGAGAGACAATCAGAATTATTGTTTTCACTCCAGTGACGAGTCTGAAACATTGGAACAGGAGGCAGTCATTCATTCCCTTGAGTCCATTTTACCATCCATTTAGATTCTGGCTGGCCAGTATCTTAACTGTCTGCTCATGTCAGCTACAAAGCATTTACAGCACAGAAAGAGGCCATTTAGTCTATCATATCTATGCTAGCTTCCTTCCACCCCTCCTTAACTCACACTCTCATCATATCCTTCTTTCTTCTCTCAAATTTTGAAATTGTATTTCTGATTTCCGAGTCTAAATCGACAATGTAACTGGTGAACATAATGGTTCTGCACCGATCCCTGTGAAAAATCACTTCTTTTCATGCTGTTCGCGCATCATTAGACATGATGCAATCTTTCTGGATCAGGCACTTTTATCCTCCAAGTTTGATTCATCTACCAATGATCGTCTTCCTTTCTATTTTATAAATCTTTATATTATTTATGATCTTAATCCTGCTGAATAGAGAATCATGTTGCCAAAGCTTGTCGTCTTGCACTCATCAAAACAAATGCAAGAATGTCAAGTTTCAAATGCTCACACCTCACAAATGAAGACAAAAAATTTTCACATCATCTCTCTTTCCAGCAAATTCTTTTATATCTCTTCCAGCACATTAGTTTCCCTTGAGAACGTTGTGGCAAAGCGATTATTAATATTTCTGTCATTTTGCTGTCATCACCTGCTTCATTACTGGCTCCACCACCATCTTAATCTTCTTGCCTAACAACAATCTATTAATCTCAGTTCTGAAATTTTCAACTGACTTCCAGCCTCAATGTTTTACAGGACACAGTTCCAGATTTCTGCTCACCTTTTCGTAGGGTGGACTTTGAAGAGTCATTAGAAGATTTTCCAGCATTTCACAATTGTTCTTTCATTTGGACTGTCTCTTGAGATCTGGGCAATTAAAATACTGTTCAATCTAATTAGGGAAGTTTCACCAGGAGCAGGGACATATCAAAAGATGTGATCCTGTAACCTACAGAGAAAATAAGTGCACTACATTGCCTACAGGAGTACTTTATTTCGCTTTAAAACTCACAATCGATCTTTTGTGGAAATTAATATTTATGGCTTTATTTATATACAGTTAAGTTCCTGGCGATATGAGATAATATTTCTACAGCAATAGAATGTTTTGAAAGTTTTCAGTCAATGCAATAAATTACTTGGAATCAAGAGATCTATCGTTTGATTAAATATTAAAGAAGCATTTTGACCCCCATAGGTTGAAGAGAGGGCTAAAGATAACCGATGTTTAAAATTACTAAAGGATTTGATATGATAGGCATTGAAGAGATATTTCTGTCAATGTCTGGTTGATCACTTTGTTAAGTTTGTAAACATTTTTATTTCAGGTGAAGAAATATCAAGTGCTGGCTGTTAAATTTGTTAACATTTTTATTTCAGGTGAAGAAATAATAAGTGCTGGCTATTAGTTGTCGAGTACATGTGTATAAAGGGGTCCAGTAACATGGAGGGTGGATTGAGACAGGTAAGGCTGAGGAAATCAATAAAATGTTCACAAAGGAAAATATATGTCTGGATTTCAATCTCTCGAATTGGCTTAGAATCCACTAATAGTAAGCCTAAAGGTGGACATCGGAAACAAAGGTTTGTTTCAAACAGAAGTTTGTTATCACCGGACCCGAAACGTTAACTCTGTTTTCTCCTCCACAGATGCTGCCAGACCTGCTGAGCTTTTCCAGCAACTTTGTTTTTGTTCCTGATTTACAGCATCCGCAGTTCTTTTGGTTTTTAGTTTGTTATCAAAGTTATTTTGGAGAAAAATAGCTGAAAACAATTATAAAATGTTAGGATATGTTTTGTGAAGTTGAAACTCGTAATCAATAGAAAAATTAAGCGGATATGTGGAATTAGATTATATCTTCACCAAGAAAAAAACAAGGTGACCTTGGCACTTTCACTTCCTACTAGGAGTAAGATCATATTTAAAGTATTCTCAGAGTTGGAGGCACACCAATTGGACACAGGTCAGTTTTGAAATTCTATCAAAATTATAGACAAAATTTAGAAGATAATGCACTAAATGAAATGAGACATGGTCAGAAACAGGCTAGATATTCCATAGAAGAATATAGAATGGAACTTAACAGATTATTTGCAGGATTGCAAAAGTTATACTTGAAGATTGTTAACTCAGTGCTTGCCTTTAAATTGTTGGATTGTGAAGGGTCAAAAGTGGATACAGTCCTGGTATAATCTGGAGTTAGTTTTTCAGAAAGAACAGGCTGTTGAAAAAGATGTCAGAAGCCTTTAAAACATTAATTGCCAGCAGCTTTTATGTCACCATGGCACCGTTAGCAATAACACAGAATGGAGGATTCCATTGCAGTGGCCATCAAGACCATCCAGATATAGGGCACAAGAGTCAATAAGGAAGAAGAAACATAAAATCATTAAATCATAAAATCAGAGTTGAGAGGGTTGGATTATGAGGAGAGACTGAGTAGACTGGGATTATACTCATTGGAATTCAGAAGAATGAGGGAGATCTTATAGAAACATATAAGTTTATGAAAGGAATAGATAAGGTGGAGGCAGGGAGGTTGTTTCCGCTGGCAGGTGAAACTAGGACTAGGGGGCATCACCTCAAAATAAAGGGAAGCAGATGTAGGACTGAGGTCAGGAGGAACTTCTTCACCCAAAGGGTTGTGAATCTGTGGAATTCCCTGCCCAGTGAAACGGTTGAAGCTACCTCGCTGAATGTTTTTAAGGCAAGGCTAGATAAATTTTTGAACAGTAAAGGAATTAAGGGTTATGGTGAGTGGGCGGGTAAGCGGAGCTGAGTCTCAAAAAGATCAGCCATGATCTAATTGAATGGCGGGGCAGGCTCGAGGGGCCGGATGGATGTGAGACACATCTCTGGTATTTATGACAGACGTCAGGAACTGTGGAACGATGACACATGAATGAACCTCAGGAATGATCAGGAATGGTCAATAGGTGTTTCATTCATTGACTCTAAACGTCATCATATAGTTGTCCTGAATGGAATAACAAGGTTGTCCAAATGACTTACAATACAACAGGTTCAAAAGGAGCTTAGGGTGATGCTAATCAGGCAGGAGGAATTGCAATGATCACAAATAGCTTCAGTCCAGTAAGAAATAGTTGCAAATACATTCAACTGTGCTGCGTTGGACAGTGAATGTGTACCCACAGTGTGTGGAGTTGATTAGTTGACACATTACCCTGATCATAAAATAATGAGGACCAAAGTAAGGTAAGGAATTACAGAGTGCTATACACTTCAGGTTTAGGGATGACAACACACCTAAGTCAATGAACAAGGTAGCAATTCCATGTAAAATCACTTCATTATAGCATAGATGTGGTATCAATTGAATTACCTTATTTGTGAACATTCTGTTTAGAAAATGCTCAAACAAAACTAGGTATGGAACATGGCATGGCAATTGTTTTTGGAAAAACTGTAGATTTCATTTCATTGTTTCCCTTTAATGATACCTAACTTGTATAATAAACATCTTAAAGAAGCATTACATCAAGGAATATAGATTTTAAAAATGCCAATTGCTTCAATACTACATCGGCAGCTTGCCCATCCACATTTTCACAGGTCAAAAATTCTGACTAAATGATGCAGGAGTAAGGGACAAGAAGTACACCAAACTTATAGATAGATTAACAATACATAAGATATATGTAAAAAGAATGTAGAAAGACACTATCACACTTTGTAGTGAATCTACCATTAGCAAGAGATTTTAATGATGTTTTAGCAGTGGACTTTAAGATATGGGATAAGGGAAACAAATATTTTCATCTGGCGATTTGTCTGCACAGCAATGCGATTTTGGTAATGACATTTAGTCAGTCTATAATAATAACTAGAAAAGAGAAAGATGATTGTGGACATGATAGTGAAGAATTGCGCAGGGAACCAGCTAAATTCCTAACTGACAGTAGGGGAATTTGCCAATGATATGTGA